TGATTTAGGGTTGTATATATAAATATTTAATTATTAATTTCATACCTAAGTTTTGATTAAAACAATTTTGCACCTGATTTTTGCACTTGGATCTTCAAATGTCTGGAGACTGGAAATATGTAATTTCCTCAACCAAAAACGCGATAGTTAATGAAATGGGCTTTAATACATGTTAGAGGACTTCGACCCATATTTAAACTGCAGCCTACTTTTAATTGGCCGGATCACATTAGCCCACAGCAGACATGGGTTGACCCACCTTATTAACTTGTCCTGTAACTATGAGTAGGATTACTGACCAAGCCCAATATTATATTCACAATCGGAGAGCGCCAAACTGTCGTTTCAAATCTCTCACACGCACAAACCACAGAGAGACACACAGTTCTTGAATGGAAAATTTTGATAAAATTTGAGATTTAATTTTTATTTGGTAAAATCCAAATCGGAAATGCCTGAGAGATTCATCGATGGAAGGGGAGCCTGACCTTCCAGACCCGGCGGCGGCGGCAAAATTTACCAGGCTAAATCTGAGCCATCCGATCAACATCAACCCGGATTCCATCTATCTCAGCCGTACGTTCAACACCACCTCCACCTGCACTTCAACGACGTCGTCTTCCTCCTCTTCCCCTCCGGACTTGGTCCGGCATGTTCAAGCTGCCTTCAAACGCCACCGCCCTCTCGGTACACTAATGCCCTTTGTTTGTATTTGATTGTTGCTTACTTCAATTTTTCAAAAAATAAGTAAATTAGAACTCCAAATAGGTTGCAACTTGTGCTGTTCTAGTACTCTGCTCTGGGATCTTTTCCGACTAAAATCTAGAGAAATTTTGAATTAGGACTTTGATTGGTTGTACATTGTGACTTAGGTTTGGTTAATTGAAGTTTCAATCAGGGATTTAAGATTATCAGTCTGTATGCTGCTTTGAGTTAATTTTTGTTTGTGAAAAAATGAATTACTTTGTCTTGGGCTGTAGTTTTTTTTTTGTTCGAACATATCTTGTGGTCGGATTACTTTGAGTGAATCTGTTTGCGAAAAAATGAAGGACTTTGTTTTGGGCAGTAATTTTTTTTTTTTGTCGAATTATAATATATTGTGGTTGGATAATGGTAGCAGTGTCTTAATTGTATGTCCTATTACAAACAATGAAGTAAATTGAATTTCCAATAAATTTGGGTCCAGCCTAGAATTTTCCTGTATATTTAATAATTTTTATTTGCTAATTCGAGATATAAAGGTTAGGGATTTACTTAGTTTGTTATGTTGTGTGCATCAATGATGTAACTAGATTAGATCCAGCGCCATTCACACCATCTACGTTATGTGTGAGAGACAATGCTGGTACTATGATCTTCACGAAGTTTGTAGTTGGGGAATTTACTATGATTTGCTGAAAAGTATGAGTCTATGTTTATATCTTCTTGTTGAAAATATGTTTTAAATTCTACTATACTAGTCAATCAAAGCTTTGTAAAATATCTATTTGATTTCTTTAAAATTGTATGGCCAAACCTTTTGTTCTACGTTCTGGTGGACATTTAGGTACATTGCAGTCAAACAGTATTAGGCCTAGGAGATTAGCGGTTCCTCAACGAGGAACATCAAAAGAATCAAATTTAAACCCTCATCCAACATATGATGCCAAGAAAAGCAACGAAGAAATATTATTGAATCACAGGTTGATGAACAGCACATCGCAGTCCAAGAAAGTGGTCTCCTTTGCTGTAGATGTTCAAGAGGACGCATCAATCTCCCCATCTTCTGAATGGAGTTCCACCATACAAGAAGGGAACTTTAAGCCATGCAATGATCATGGAGATCAACCCCAACTCTTTTCTGGATCAAGAAGCAACAATACAGTTGCTTCTTTAATGGTCGTTGAACCTGAGCATGTTCCGTCGTCTGAAGTACAAAAGAAGGTCCATTTTGCCTCAGAAAACTATGCCAGAACTCAAGGTAAATTACTGATCTAATATTTATTTTAAATGGAATGCACTAATGAGTAATTTCATGCATGTTTAAGGGTCAGGAAGAAAGACCGTTATACACTTAATTATACCATGCACATTGCGTGATGCAAATTACGGTTAGTAATAAATGCAATTTATGGCACATATTGCAAAATGTTTATACAGGGGCTGATGAAAAAATGGCCACTGGAATGGACGATTTATTATCTTATGTGGATTTGCTTGCATTGACAGAAACAAACTGGGATGTGAGCAACAGAATAGATCCTTTAGCAGCTGTCAATCAGGATTTGCAGCATCATAATTTTGAGAGTATGGAAAAGGAAAATAGTTTGAGGTCTGAGGGTGGGATTTCTTCGTTAATGGGTAGAGGAACTATGACTAGTCAGGATCAGCTGCACCACCAATTCACAAACTTTTTGCAAAATGACTTGGGTCATGCCATGACTCAGTCCTCAGTTGTTGGGTCAACTTGCTTTACGTCAACATTAATAAACTCAACTTCAGCTCCTAAGATTAGTTCAACAACCTATTGTTCTCAACCTCATCAAATGATCGGGTCTAGTTTGCAAATGGATCCCTCAGGAGAAGCTGAAGCTAAACGAGATGTGGTGCAGCCAGCATATCCTTCATCCAACTATGCAAGTGGACTGTCAACTCATCCGTCATCTAGCACTGCGCCACCTGTCAGCTCCATCGTTGTAGTGCCAATGGAAATCGGCAATTCTTCTGCCCTGTCTAATGAGCAACCAAGCAATTTTCCAAAGAAATGTAACACTTCTAGAGATTCTTCCCTACATGAAGATAACAACTCAGCCAAAGGGAATGATATTGATATAAAATCTCAGCCTCCATCATCAAAAGTACAATCAATGGATGCGAAGTTGGTAAATTCTAAGTCAGACAAGCAAGAAAGAGGTGCAATTGGCAAACCGACATCAACATCTCGTAAAAAGGGTTATGATCCTGATTTGTTCTTCAAAGTCAATGGAAAACTCTATCAAAGGCTTGGAAAGATAGGTAGTGGAGGAAGTAGTGAGGTTCACAAAGTAATTTCCTCAGATTGCAAAATTTATGCCTTGAAGAAGATCAAACTTAAAGGCCGTGATTATGCCACAGCGTATGGCTTTTGTCAAGAAATTGAATATCTTAACCGGCTGAAGGGGATGAACAACATTATTCAGCTTATTGATTATGAGGTATATGCTTTAGGAAGTGCTTAAAATTTCCATCATGCGTAAGCTTAATGGAAGAAGCTGTTACCTGTATTATAAATTAATCTTTTGTGTTATAACTGTATTGATATAAAGGGGTGCATGGAAACCTACCAATTATTAAAAAATTCATTGGAGCCACTTCAGTGATAAGAATTGGAAGTGACAATTGTGAGGATGAAGTGAGAATCGAGATGCTTGTTGTGGAATATGAAAAAGATCATTGAAATCTGGATTCTGAGAATGCATGTAAGAAGGTAGCATTTTCTGAGAGGAGTGTTTTGTTCAAATGATCACAATAGCACATCTTCTTCCTGTGACTGTATACCATAAAAGAATTTTTTGGGAGATATTTAAGCTTTTGATTTGTCTAATTAAACATACATTTAGATGATAATATTACATTTTCTTCTTAGGTGACAGATAAGACTTTGCTTCAGGAAGTCGTGAATGGTTTTATGAGTAATAAAGATGCGAGGGTCAAGGATGATGGATATATATACATGGTCCTTGAATATGGTGAAATTGATTTGGCTCACATGCTGTCCCAAAAATGGAAGGAACTGGATAGCTCTGATTCAATGATAGATGAGAACTGGCTCCGATATTACTGGCAGGTTCTTCACTAAATCCTTATTTTATTAAGTACATTTTTACTGCTATAGCTTAATTAACTTTCTGATGATCATCGCCAAAATCGGGTTTTTGTTCTTTAGTTGAAGAGATTCCCAGAACTTTTTTATTTGTAGACTGTCTTCACCACGTCTTTTTCTTGGTGCCGTATGCCTTTGTTTTTCTATTTTCTATACTCAAGCATCTAAACTTTCGTGTAAAAATACTGCAAGTGTACTAGCAACATTTTCTTATCTTTTGACCTTTAGTATATATTCTGTAAGGATATGAGCCTCAAGAAACACATGGAAGCAGTAGAATATTCACCAAGAACAAACTAATATACTCAAAGTAATATCGATTTTATTTGGGGCTCAGAATTGACAAAGAATACATTGTACCCGTCTGTTCACAAAGAACAAGCCAACAAAACCCAAACCCTAATAAGAATCGCACAAAGCAGCTACTTCAATGGACTAAATCACGACTGCCTATCTAAGCCCCTCACAAAGTACAATCGAAGAATCACACAGAAGCAAACCACCAAGGTTTGTGATTAAAACCAAGAGTTTTAATCTATTTCACAAAGAATCGGNGGCCTGAAACTATTATTGTGTTATTGGGCAATGGTAATGTATCCGTTCCAACAATATTTGGGCCACGCCCATTTCATCATCGCCCCATAGTTGAATATATATGACAAAATTGGCATCAATATTCAACATATTCTCTAACTGGTGACATGATGATTATTCAAAGACAACTGTTATGAAGCAAAACTAATCAACCTTTATATGTCATCTAAACTCTTAACTTAAAAAAGGTGGGGAGATGAATTTAATTTTGTGTGTTATTTAGCTCATCTGATATCTACCTCTGCAAAAATATTGCAGCAAATTCTTCTGGCTGTAAACACTATACACGAGGAACGCATAGTGCATTCAGATTTAAAACCAGCCAATTTTCTTTTAGTAAGAGGTTCACTGAAGCTAATTGATTTTGGTATTGCCAAGGCTATAATGAGCGACACAACAAACATTCAACGGGATTCACAGGTTGTTCCATATCCACATCTTCTCAAATATATATGTATACATAGGCTGTTTTTTTTGTCTTGTGCTAAGAATGACATGCGACTGCAGGTTGGCACGCTAAGTTACATGTCTCCTGAAGCATTTATGTGTAATGAGACTGATGCAAATGGAAATACGATAAAATGTGGTCGTCCATCTGATATCTGGTCGCTTGGTTGCATCCTTTACCAAATGGTTTATGGAAGAACACCTTTCTCTGAATACAAAACATTTTGGGCGAAATTCAAAGTCATAACTGATCCAAATCATGAAATCGCATATGAACCTATGTCCAATCCATGGCTATTGGATCTCATGAAGAAATGTCTGGCTTGGGACAGGAATGAAAGATGGAGGATTCCTCAACTGCTTCAGCATCCATTTCTTGTTCCTCCGGTTCCACCTCAATTTCCTGCCCCTCCCGATGAAAGCTGTAAATTGCTTCGATTGGTTGCCGAATCAAATGTTGATGATCAGAAGGTTTTGATGCTATGCACTCAGCTCGAGAATATGTTAGTGAACCCGAGATCGTTAATTCCATCGCAGGAAACGATATCCCCAGACTTGCAACACAAGTTACTTAATAAAATGTCAACCCTTTGCTTTCAGCTCCAAGAACAGTTAGCAAATGTGGAAAGAGATGCAAAGATCTGATCTTGCGAGTGTATTTTCATTTTAAGCTGTCAATTTGTAACCTTCTCTTATTTATTTAGTTTTTTGGGGAGGGGAGTTAGGAAGATTGAGACCTTAATGGCGTGTTTGGTTAGAAGAATTGAGTAAGTACTAAACATGTTAATTTGGAATTAACATCTTATATGATAAAATCATATGCGTGTCTTCACAAAAATATCCATGTACATTGCAAGAAATACAAGAAACAAAGACTATACAAGTACATTGCAAATAAATATTGAGTGAAAAATTGAACAATTGTGGTTCAAAGTCTAATGTAAACATTTTCACTACGAGATTAGCTCTCTAAAGGTTCAGTCTTCGTTCAGAGAAGAATGCTTGTAAGAAGCTTTAGCATGAGCTTCGTCGTCCAACTTACTCAAAGAGTTCCATCATGAAAGGGGTCTTTGTTTCATGAGTGATTCTCACTACATCCAAAGCCTTAATAAATGACTCGACTGCTTCTTCAGTCTCTCCTGGCAACCTATAAAGTTGAAAACATCAGCCTTGCCATTTGTATTTTCTATTCGTGTTTATCAATTAATCCTTGTTTCAAAATATGGATACAATTATAGAATACTGCAGATTCATTTTTCAGAAAAGAGTGTAAATGATGAATAATATACTTGAAACTGTCTGCAAGAAAGAGGGGAGAAAGTGACACATTTCAAGAGCATCTCCAACAGACTCTCTATTTTTAAAGAACGTATTCTACAATTTAGAAAGTATCTATAAATTCAAAGAGTAAAAATTTCTAAATACTCCAACGTACTCTTTATATTTAACTCTTAATTTTATCCCAAAAAATATTTATTATTTTTCCCTATCTTTTATTTTCGCTAGCTTCCCTTCAAATTATTATANTTTCCCTATCTTTTATTTTCACTAGCTTCCCTTCAAATTATTATATTATTTTACTTTATTGAAAATTAAAAAAAAAAAAAATCGAGCAGAAAACTGCCTAGATTTAGTGCGAAAATCCTGACTTGCAACTTCTGGCCAAACTAGAAAGTATTTGGGGAATCTAGGACCACCAGCGTGACGAGCAGATCGAAGGGCTACTGGGTTGACGGCGCGTGAAGCCCATGCGCAGAGAAGAAGGGCGGCACGTTCGGGCGCGTTGGGAAGGATTCGGATAAAGTTCTCTTTAGGAAGTTTGTTATTTTTGACTTTCTGAACGTATTGATATTTTTGGTTTAGTGTTTCAGGTTACGAAGGAAAAGTTGGACGATTTTGCCTCTGCTTGTTCGGGATTCAGTTTTACATTCTATTGGTTACTGCAAACTTTAGTGGGAATAGTGGTGGCTCTAAAGTGTTAAAATTATCTCTCGTAATTTACGGACCCAAATAGGTCCGCTCTAGTAAATTGGCTTATCCCGTTTACATTCCAGCATTAGCGCGTCATTGTGTGGTGACATTAGGATTGAGGTTATCGTGAAAGGGTAACCACTGCTTGTGCTAGAAATTTAGAAATTATTTTCCCTATCTTTTATTTTCGCTAGCTTCCCTTCAAATTATTATATTATTTTACTTTACTGAAAATTAAAATACTTTGACTGCATTTGATTATAGAGAATGAATTTGACTCTTCAACATTCCCTAAATTTAAATTTTAAATTTAAAAAGTTTATTGGAGCATAATTTTGAGAGTTGACTCTTTAAAATAGAGAGTATCTTATATTTAAAGAATATCTTGAAGATGCTCTCACCATTCAAGTTTTCCGCGAGTATAATATTGCAATCCGACCAAAGGATGAAATGGTGGATACGCTCCTACAGAAAAGAGAAAATGTTAATTATCCAAACCGAAAGAACAACTCGGCAGTACATATTTTGCTTTCACAAACAATTAGTATGTGGAAAGCACAAATTGGAATGGCCATATTCAAACTCGCACAATATGGATTATGTGCTAGACATATGGTCCTACTAGAAGTAGCACCCGAGTCCTAGTCCCTTGCCAGTTCACTTGGGATACAACACAAAGCTGATCTTGTGTATTCTCTAGATACAGAGTTACTTTACCACCATATGCAACCTAAATGAAACTAGTTATCTATAGCATCTGATACTAATAGGTAATTGTAAAATTCTTTCAAGAAGTTTAAGCTTAAGACCATACTCAGATAAATCGGAATGGTCAATCTGAAGTATGTAAGTGCTTCCTTCCAATCTTTCGCCCTTCATCTCCTAGAACTTTATTTGACGGCGATCACCACTAGAAATTTCCTCTATCAGAGCTTCGACGGCCTAAAAAGGATTTAGAGGTAGGTGGCCGAGGATTTGTTGGCTTGCATTTCCGGAGGCCAACAACAAGCATTTTAACGATATAATTTGGAAATTATCAATGAAAAAAAATAGTTTTTTCGATACAAATTAGATTAGAAAATGAAGTGGTGGAACAACCAGCTTACTAACCTTCAATATTGGCAGGTTAGTGAGCCAGCTAGTTCTACCGATATTGATGACAATTTAGGCTAGACCAGAACCACATTATTAGGTAAATTGGTTAAGGTTCACTACAGATTTGCCATTACTAGTTTCAATCATAAGTTATTTATATTCACTTTAATCATGAACAAATTTGGATGTGTATTTAAAACAATATCCAATGATACGTAACTAAATATTTATCACCTTAGTTTCATTAACTAAATCTACGTTATCCAAGAAAGACATGTATCATAGGATCTTGTTGTAAGTACACATCTTTTATGAAACCAAATACACATTAATGTCAAGTAAACTGGAAGTCCTTCAACTCGAATGTCACGTAAGCTCCAACACATTCAATGCATTAGAGATGCTCTAAGATTCGTAGTTTATTATTCCTTTATCGACACTATCTTTGCTGTTGTTTTTTCTGTTTCTAGGTAGCTTGCATGCGAGCGTCCGGCCTTTTCCCCTAACTTATTTTCTGAGTTTTAAGGTCTCTTTTGAACCATTAGTAAAGGCTTCAAGCCCTTTGAAACCAACCCACAAATGGGGCAAACAATGAGTTCATTTTCGAGTTAAAAGAACCTAAAGGTAAAGAGGCATAACCCGATACACATTAGGCTGGGTCACTCACCGAATCCAAAAAGTTTGCATAACCTGCAAGTTTAAAGAGTCTAACCCAACTCACCTTACACCTCTTATCACTTGGTCGTACGGTCGGGAAGGTTGGCAATTTATGAAAACATCAAAAGTACATGGTATTTATGTTCCATGTGATACTTCATTTAATGTTGCATTCTTTGATGACAACTTCTGCTCAAAAAAGAAAAACCCATGTGAATTTCCGAGGATGTACTGTCTTCCTTTTGCTTTTTACTTCTTCTAAGATTAGTCAATTTTTATGTTGTCATTTTGTTAAGATTCCTTTTTATCCGTTAATTAATTATGATGAAGTCCCAGCGAATTATGCAAGTGAAAACAAAAACTTTCGAACTCTTTTGAGGTAAAAATAAAAATAAAAAGATGATGAATGTCCCCACAAATCTAGTACAAATAACAAAGTAATTATGTGGGTCTAAATTCATGGACTTTAGTCTTTAGACTTCTGCTTATGCCATTTTGCTGTGAAGCAAATCGAATAGCATATTTGCCAGCGCAATATACTTTTTCTTCCTTTTTCTGTCGTCACAATTCTTTGTATTGGACTGGTTCGTGAGAGTTGAACGTGGATAATGTGTTGTAATCTATTCAAATTATAAAAAAGGGTCGTGTGAAAAAAAGCATGTTAAACAATTTAAACCGTAGTATGAGCAAAAAAATTTTAGCGAGTTCGAGCATGAAGTCTTGTACTCATTTATCATTTAATAAGTTATGCTAGATAATTCGATCCGACAAAAATAGCGTGATCATACTATAAGTTGTGAGGGATAAGGTCAAGTGTGACCCAAGCCAAGTCGGTGTAGCCATTTATGTCACCTCAAACATGGATTGAGCTGCCTTAAGTTTGGATTAGGCTAAAGAACACTTCTTTGCACCTCTAGTCGTGTGGTACTAATGAATAATTGTTGATGGGATGAAGCTACACTTGTAGAAGTGGGGCTTCACAGAAGCCCCCAGGACCCACCTCATGTGAGAGTCGGTAAGAGGTCTGTGAACCAAGCTTCTGTACATTTGTCTTAATCCTTGTTGATGGCATGGCAAGAAGACAATAAAACATGAAAATTGAATTGACTGGACGCTTGATTGGTGGAAAAAATAATATTATACATGTTAAATATGAAATAAACTCGACATGTTGACAAAAATAATACCACTAGAACACCGTTAACAAAATCTCAACAACTAAATTTGCAATACACACCTTGACTAACTTTTTTATTTCATTATTATATGAAAAAAAATGGATGGCTTAACCATTTAGACTTCTTCAATATTCTCAAGCATTTTTATATTGACATGGAATATTCTTTTCTTAGGTAAAAAAATTAAATGAAAATGTTGAAAGGGTATTAATGAACATGTCCTACAAGGTCCAAACGACGATTTTTTGAGTCCACATTATGTAGCTAACCTATTATCTAGAAGGTAATATTCATTTTCCTAGTAACGAAGGCATATTAATATAATCACTTTAGTTAACAATTATAACATGTTTCTTTAGCTATACTTCTTGAGAAATAGTCCGATCTGACCCATTNCTTCTTGAGAAATAGTCCGATCTGACCCATTCCTCGAAAGAAGTTTTTTACGTGATCCATCAATATTTTTACTTTTGATTTTGAAAAATCATAGTGCTCTCTTTTCGGACAACAAATACGGAAACTCGCAAACAATCAAATAATTAGTAGTGATAAATATTTTACGACACGAACAAAAACAAAATTGTATTTTTTGTGACTATGATATAATTAGACTAAGAACATGTTTGGCTAAGCTTAAATTCTAATTAAAATTGAAAATATAGCTCTTTTTGGGTCCCACTCGTCTAATAAAAATCAACAATAACAGCTAATTTTTCAATTTTTATCCAATTTTAATCTCTACCGAACACGCCCTAAGTAAATAAAAAAAATTTGCAGTCTTTTATTGCCATTGACAATTTGAAGTCTATATTTCTTAATTTGGGAAAACAAAGTTCAGACTTTTGGGTTGTTGCATACATCAAAACCATTATTTATCAGATCATTCCATTTACTTATTCAAAGTCACATTCTTAAACAACGAAAAGTCATCCTCCGAAATTCAAGCAAGTATAATGAAATTTTGAGAAAATATCGGAGAGATTGCACTTCCGATTGATTTTTTTTTTTTTTTTTTTAATTTTTAAAAAAATTTTTTTTTTTTTTTTTTTTTTTTCCCTCCAATGATATTGGGATTTTTCTCAATAGATTTTTTTTAATCTAGACTATACTAGGCTTATGCCCCTTTCAAAATATTCGTTTGTCAATACTTTGTCCACCATAAAACCTTTTATAGGTCCGTCCATGTAGGAACAAACAAATCGCACTTTATTTTGCTAGTTGAATTTTCATTGTTTACAGAGTGTGAGATATTTTCTTAAAACAGTTGGTTGGGCGGCTACAAAATGAACGGTGCAACTAAGAAGGCAGATTCATACTACAATTGAAATAAAATTAGTACATCACCAACAAGAAGAAAGATAAACTCATTCTTCAATTTCTTGAAGGATTTTGATACAAAGTTTACCATATCATGTTGAAAACTTCTGAATCTAGCTGTATCCCATCATAAATAAAAACTCTTCAATATTTTATTTTGTTTTATTGTTTTAAAATATTTTTAACTTAATAAAAATTTTGAAAATAAATTAGTTTATTTCGTTTTTATTAATTTAAGATTTTAGATGAAGCGATTTAACGGTGTTGAAACAAGTAGCTTGGTCCCCGTCCTGCCATGAGAACTTGAGTCGAGATTACTGAAAAGTTTTAGATAAAATTTTTGAAAAGTTTAAAATAATAAAAAATTTATTCTACATTTATTAAAAAAAGATCTAGAGACTATATTGCACCTGTAGAAGGCAAGAGCACATGGGTTGGACGACTCAAACTAGGCAAGCATTTTGATAGCCATACTACACTTCTTGAGAAATAGTCCGATCTGATCCATTCCTCGAAAGAAGTTTTTTACGTGATCCATCAATATTTTTACTTTTGATTTTGAATAATCATAGTGCTCTCTTTTCGGACAACAAATACGGAAACCCGCAAAAAATCAAATAATTAGTAGTGATAAATATTTTACAAAAAATAAATTTCACGAACAAAAACAAACTTGTATTGTTTGTGACTATGATATAATTAGACTAAGAGCATGTTTGGCTAAGCTTATATTTCAATTAAAATTGAAAATATAATCGTTTTTGGGTCTCACTCGTTTAATAAAAGTCAACAATAACAATTAATTTTTCAATTTTAATTCGATTTTAATCTCTATCGAACACGCTCTAAGTAAATTAAAAAACAAAAATTGCAGTCTTTTATTGCCATTGACAATTTGAAGTCTATATTTCTTAATTTGGGAAAACAAAGTTCAGACTTTTGGGTTGTTGCATACATCAAAACCTTTATTTATCAGATCATTCCATTTACTTATTCAAAGTCACATTCTTAAACAACGAAAAGTCATCCCCCGAAATTCAAGCAAGTATAATGAAATTTACTTAGCCCTTACTTGATAATCATTATTTGAAAATTCTTTTTTCTACGTTCTCGTTTTTAACCACGTTTGCGCAATAAATTAATGTGTACGTAAATCCAAAATTTTCTCTATTTTTTAACCACATACTGTATTTCTCATAATAAACCTTCATTTTAGCTCCTGCGGCGAAAATAATAGAGGTAATAAAGATAAGCAGTTGAACGAATATCAATTTCAATTATTTTATTTAAAAATAAATGGAAAATTATTTTTGTTTTCTTCTTACTTATACCATGTAAACAATTTGAATTTTCCTTTGAATTTTCAGGTGTTTTGTGAATGAACTAAAAAAAGGGAAAGAAAATTTACCAGCATAAAATCCACAAGTAACTGACTGCCACGTTGCTTTACCATTTGCCCCCACACGTCACCCTCTCCTTCCTCCAATATGCCGGCCATAAAAACCCGGAAAAAAAAATAAAAAAAATCCATTTAATTCAACAATTTCCAGCGGAATCCCCTCATATTTCTTCCTTCTTCATTCATTTCCGCGTTCTCGCGAACTTCTCTCCTCAATTCTCTATCAAGTATATATGTGTAATACACACAAGAATCCGATTTCGATACGTATCTACTAAGATCTATTAACTCAAAGTTCTTTTTTTTTTTTTTTTAAATCAATAATTTGGTTGTAGAACCAACGCATTATTTTGCAAAGGAAATGATTGGTAATTCGTGAACAATTTTGAAGAAATTATAGCATTATGCTTATGATTTTCTTATGGCTATGCATCCGTTCTGTTGCGTTTCATCAATGACAATTAACAGCAACGATATGCCTCCTGCGCCGGCGCCGGTATTTTCTACCGATGCACAAGTTAAGAATCGGAATTCGGTGATGTCAAGGACGTCGTCCACGCGTGAGGATCATCAAAATATAATTGTTTTGAATACTAATTGCAGTAATAATCATAGTCAAAATTACAATAGCCGGGAGCAGCAGCAAGTGAAGATCAATGATATAGTGGGCGATGGCATTTCTGGAATTTTATGCAAATGGGTCAATTATGGTAAAGGGTGGAGGTCTAGATGGTTTGTGTTGCAGGATGGGGTGTTGAGTTACTACAAGATCCATGGGCCTGACAAGATTTTGGTTAGTCAGGAGGCTGAAAAGGGATCGAGAGTGATCGGAGAAGAGTCGATCAAACGGATGACGAGGCAGAATTACCACAACAATCATCATAAGAATGTAACCTATGGTTCTTCTTCGAAAAGCCGGAAGCCCGTTGGTGAAGTTCACTTGAAGGTCAATTTTCTTAATTGAATAGTAGTCAAATTTCCTATATGTTGCTAGGTTTTTCGTTTGGTGGATGCTGTAATTGGTGTTGGAACTGATTAATTTGATCGCTTGAATTGGAGGTTCTAATTTATTAATTCTTAGCTTGCAGCATATATATAAGTTAATTTTTTGGGGATTTTGGTTCAATTATTTTTTCCTTCTTAATTTTGAATTCTTTTAATTTATCAGCCTCTGTTTCTGTAGCTGTTTTAATTTTTGTGCATTAATTTTGGCTTTTTCTTTGGAGCGAATTTTTGTTCTATAAACTAAATCTGGTTGGAAAAGATATTGAGTTTTCAATGGGTCACAGAGTAAAAAAAAATTTGGGGTGGATGTAAATCATGACATTGTTTCCTACTAAATTTAGAACGACTATCTACTTTTCTTGTTCTTTTTTGAGTGTCATCTTTGAAATCTTATGATCAATGAAGTTCTTCTGTGCCGTTGCACTGATGCTGCATTACATACTAGGAGTATGATTATTGTTAGTCCAATTAAATGATGGGAATCTTGTATTCTATCATTGCATGGTTTTTTTCCTGGAGTAAAATGTCAACATCTTTGTGCTTCCATTTCATGTGATTTATGTGTGTTGCTCTGCCTCAATTCAATTGCTTAATATAATTTCGGGTAATTTAAAATTGGATTAATTTTCAACAGGTCTCATCTGTTAGAGAGAGCCGATCAGATGATAAAAGATTTTCCATTTTCACGGGAACAAAGAGGCTGCACCTGAGGGCAGAGAGCAGAGAGGATCGAATAGCATGGATGGAAGCACTACAGGCCGTGAAGGATATGTTTCCGAGAATTTCCAACAGCGAGTTAATGATTCCTCTGGACAATGTTTCTGTCTCAACTCTAAAGTTGAGACAGCGATTGTTGGAAGAAGGTGTAAGTGAATCTGCCATTCAGGACAGCGAGCAGATTATGAGAAATGAATTTGCTTCTCTGCAGAGCCAATGGATGCTTTTGAATCAGAAGCATTCCATGCTCACTGACACTTTGCGACATTTAGAGGTATATGTTATAGCTGGTAGAAAAACTTTACTAGTCAAACTCAAAATTCTTCTTCAGTTTTTCTTCTCCAAGGAACTGTTCATCGGAAGTGCTTTTACCAATATCATACCTTCTCAGCTTCACAACTACTACTTTATTCTGTTGAACTAGTTCTTGATGTTTTTTCACATTTAGTAGATGCAGCAATGAACACAACAAAGTGTTGAAGAAGGGTTTAAGTATCCAATTCCAAATATATTGGGATTAAAGCTTAGTTTATTCTTATTGTTATATTAACATATTTATTGGAACATCAGTAGAGGATCTTTTTGCTAAATGGAGTGGCAGTTAGATCATTAGTTACTTTTCTTTTTCGTTGTTACTGTTGCTGGTGCTGGTGGTCTTCTTTTTCTTTCCAGTTGGGGGGAGGGGGAGGATGGTTCATACTTGTTTGGCGTTTTTACCTATTCCCCTTTCTTTCCTGAGCTGATTGTGCATCAATACTTTCTAGTATTTATATTGTTGGAGCTTTATTAGGTATCTGTTGAATAGGTTCATCTTTTGTAAAATCATATATATTAAGTTTTTCTAGCATAGCACGCGTAGCCTTCTTTGTGCTTGCTTGGGTTTCATTATAAGTTTCTGAAATTATAATATGACAGAAATAAATGGTGGATAAGTAGGTACTAGGTGTGGGTTCTGCAAAATGTATGTTTAAATATTAGAGTTTTACTTTGACCTTCAAATTATAAGGAGATTATAATGGAAGGCAAACAAGCTTTTTGTTTCCCAAGCCATTAGGAGAAAGATGATACCAGTTGAGCTATTTATTTGATAGCAGAATATATAAAATAATTTCTTGAGATGTCGATGAAGTTCAGTAATAATTCTTTCTGAAAGTTACTCGGACAGCATTTAACTGCATACTCTGCCATTTAGGAACATTACTCTTTTGTATGTGTGATTTGTACTTTGTGCATACAGTTTCTTGGTCTGGATTTTTTTCCTTTTTCTTCTCATTGAAACGGTTTTCAGACTGTTATATAACACCACTTTATTTAAGTAGTCATTCATTTACTAATTCACCTCTGTCTATAGTGGTAGTAAAATCCAAAGAATGCCTCAAGCCACCGTACATTTTCTTTTTACACGTGTATTCCATGTTAATGTTTATACCGACATATAAGAAGAGGAACTACTTATTGTTTCTTCTCTTTATTTGTGTTCTCCTTTACCTTGTTGGCTAAGATATTTTTAATATGTGATATTGTGTAGACAGAAAAGGTAGATTTGGAAAACACTGTTGTTGATGAGAGCCAGAGACAGTTAAATGAAACTGAAGCATCTAGTAGATCGAGGCAAGACAAATACAGTGGTATGTTTCATGTGCATTTTTTTTTATGTTTGACCTTCATGATGATACAGACTGAGCAGAACTTATCTTAAATATGTTTAGCCTACAAGATTGGGTATGTACTGAGTTAAGTTGTTGCATTCTATTGTGGGTTAATAACCCAAATAGTCACTCAACTTTGCAAAAAGTTTTCACATGGTCACTGAACTTTAAAAATCACCCAAGTCATCACTGAATTTTGCAAAAGGTTTATGCTGGGTCATTGAATTTTAAAAATTACTTCATTCATCACTAAATTTTGTAAAAAAATTTTACAGGGTCATTGAACTTTACAAAAGATTTCCCAGGGGATCACTGAATTAGTGATCTCTTGGAAAACTTTTTGCAAACTTTAGCGATGAATGGGATGATTTTTAAAGTTCAATGACCCCGTAAACCTTTTGCAAAGTTCAGTGATGACTTGGGTGATTTTTAAAGTTCGATGACCCTGTGAAAACTTTTTGCAAATTTCAATGACCATTTGGATTATTAACCCCTCTATTGTCTCTGTTACCTCTTTGCTTGCTCTTTAAGTTCTATAAATGGTCAAATTGTGGTTGACTAGCATGATCAATCTTTCTTACTTTTTGTTCTTCAAATCATGAATTCTTTCATTGTTATAATTTTTTTTTTCATTTTTTTGAATACATTGATACTAATATTAACAGAAGCCTACACAGTTTTTGGCTTCTTTTATATGCATTTATTTTTAAGAACTGCAGCGATCTTATTACTCTTCTGGATGCTTTTACTAGAAAGCGCGAGTGAATCTGAAGATGAAAATGAAAGAGTTGATGCGGCAGAGGATGATACTGATGAAGAAGACAATGCATTCTTTGACACCAAGGACTTTCTATCGTCAAGCTCTTTCAAAAGCAATGGGTCTGACTTTAGGACATCATCATTTTCATCCGATGACAACGAACTATATGCTTTTGAAGCCGATGATTCTATTGATCCTGCCATTAGAGCTGCGGGGACTAACTTTCCTTATGTTAAACATCGGAAGAAACTGCCAGACCCTGTTGAGAAAGAGAAAGGAGTGAGTTTATGGTCGATGATTAAAGATAATATCGGGAAGGACCTGACAAAAGTGTGTCTTCCTGTATACTTCAATGAACCTCTCTCTTCCCTGCAAAAGTGTGTTGAAGATTTGGAATATTCACATCTTCTCGATCGGGCTTATGAATGGGGAAAGCGGGTAAGTTTACTCTAGGACATAATCCCTGTTTACATCTCTGGTTAATGGTTGCATAAAACCATTGTGCATGGTTATAGGCCATTTTTAAATTGTAATTGAAAATTGGTATAGTTTGCCCAGAATATATCTAAATGTTTGCATTTTTACTTGATCTTTAGTGGTTTCCTGTTGGACTTTTAGTTGGCATTTTATAGTGCCACCCCCCACCCCACCCCCGGAACACGCACACAAACGAAAATTCTGTGGGGAAAATAAGAAAGGTCTGTGCACTTTGATCTAGGTATGTAAATCTCTCTAAGATGAACACATTGGTTAAGAACTTAAATCTCATGTGTTGTGACAACTGTGAGCATAATTTAGAGAAGTCCAAAATTATTGATTTGAGAGTTGGAAATTTGTGAAGAGAAAAGCGAGTATATCTTGTCAATCTATTTACTTTCCGTTTAAGTTCCTTCAGAGTTTTTTTACAGGATATTCATCTTTTCCTAGGAATTTGAGTAGAGTAATTTGTCTGCAATTGTTATGTTAGTTTTATTCACTAAAATTATGTCATCTATATCAAGCACCACTTAATTATTTAATAAGGATCACACATCTCTTATGTGGTAAAGCAAGGTTGAGCTTAATGTCCGGGAAGTGTTTTTTTGGAAGTTCTGCCTTTTTTATTCCTGATGTTCACTGCACTTTTCCTTTTAACATCTAATATGTGATCATAAAATTTTTGATAGGGTAACAGCCTTATGAGGATTCTAAATGTAGCTGCATTTGCAGTATCTGGATATGCTTCCACTGAAGGAAGAAATTGCAAACCATTTAATCCACTGTTAGGGGAGACTTATGAGGCTGATTATCCAGATAAGGGCTTCCGATTCTTCTCGGAGAAGGTATCAATTTATTACCTGAATCAATGCTGTCTTTGTTTCATCCATAATTTTGCTCATTTTCTACAACACTTTCAATAGGGTTAAAGTTTGATGGTATAGATAGATGGCTTGGTATTATGTACAAGAGTGGTTTTCTAAACTAGATACTTTGAGCAAAGCAAGACATTACGCTAAATTCACTCAACTTTTGTTTCTATACAGTCCCTTGGAATTCTTGAAGGAAAATATAAGAGAGAGATATACAAGGAAAACGAAAGTGACTTTCTTATTTTATTACCTGAAGAAATGTAGTTTTCCTTTTTGATACTATGCTGTTTGATCCGTTCACCAAAGTCATCTGTATTTAAAATCTAGATGAGTATGTCAATGTGGTTACATTTGAAAGGTAAAGTTCAAATTCTTCGATATCATGTTCAATATAGTTCAAAAGGTCAGGTAGTGTTGAACAAGTCACATCGAGCAAAACAACCTTTCATCTAATGTTCTTATGTTATTTTCCATATGATTCATCTTAGTTTCTAGAGGAACATCAGATAGAAAAAAATGAAAAACTTGACTTCGCTTGATATGGCTGAGAAGTGTATTCAATCATAATAATGTTTAGTGAATATTTGGTCTCCTTTCCTCTCAGTTTATACAAGTCTTCTGCAAGCCTAGCTATAAAAAACCTGGAAGGTTTTTATTTTGGCCTTCATCTATGTGCACATATGTCATGAAATTGCTGGTTTTGTTGTTTGACTTGTTAATATTTCTCCTTATAACTGACGAAACTGGGGATTTCTAAACAAGGAAAATCCTGTTTTGTGCATGCACTGTGATCAAACAGAACTAATGCTGGCTTCTTTTGGATCAGGTGTCTCATCATCCAATGGTAGTAGCATGCCATTGCGAGGGTACTGGCTGGAGGTTTTATGGTGATAGCAATCTGAAAAGTAAATTTTGGGGTCGCTCAATCCAGCTTGATCCAGTTGGTGTTTTAACCCTAGAATTTGATGATGGAGAAGTTTTCCAATGGAGCAAGGTATCATATCAAAAAATCAGAGATCTTTCCATTGTTCAATTTCATGCCCAACTGACCTGTTTGTGACAGGTAACAACATCGATATACAATCTTATTCTGGGGAAACTATATTGCGATCACTACGGTACAATGCGGATAGAAGGAAATCGTAATTACTCATGTAAACTGAAATTCAAGGAGCAGTCTATCATAGACAGAAATCCTCATCAGGTTTTCTCCCTTCTTATATGTTTTGCTTCTATACTATAAAGAATAGACGAATTACTTTGGTTTACATTTTCTTTTTGGTGGAGAGAAATAATCTTTTTTTTTATTGGTAAGGTCTTTTGTATAAAATGACATCACTTTTGCAGGTGCAAGGAATAGTCCAAGATAGGAGCGGAAAGACCGTAGCAACTCTATTTGGAAAATGGGATGAGAGCATGCATTATGTCAAAGGAGACTTCTCATCTAAGGGAAAAGATCACGAATCTCTGTCAGAAGCTCATTTGCTCTGGAAACGTAGTGAGCCTCCTAAGTTCCCTACGCGTTATAATTTGACACGCTTCGCCATCAGACTGAACGAGCTTACTCCTGAGCTGAAGGTGATTTTTTTGAATGATTCAGTATCTAAATGTTTTCACCAAATGATTGTTTTTCTTTGGTTGGCAAGTGTTCTAAATGAAATATTTTATTCTTCAAATTCCGTCTTGTAGTTGGAAATTACATGAATATGTATTTTAATTTGAACCGTTAAACTCTATTCTTAGGCACTTGGATCCTCGAATAACGTAATATACTTTCTGATACTCCATTTAAACTGATACTCTCTTCTACTTCTCAATGCTGTCACGTAGATCTTTCATTGGCATATATTAGAGTCTACGAAGTTGCAAGAGCTCTTGAACATTTCTCAAAATTTTATATTGTACTAAGATCGACCTTCATCCTTTGCAGGAAAAGCTGCCCCCAACAGATTCAAGGCTGAGACCTGATCAAAGGTGCTTGGAAAATGGGGAATATGAAATGGCTAATGCAGAAAAATTGCGACTGGAGCAGCGGCAGCGGCAGGTAATTGTTTGAGCTTGTTTCAGAATAATCATTCTGAATCATCAGCTAAAATTTAGATGCATGAGCCAGAATTTAAAGGTTGAGGTGTTTTTGGCTTCTTTATTTGGAAAATTTTCAATTCTTCTAAGCTAATTTCTTTGTGACTCCACTATTGATCCTTTCTCATGGTGAATAGTAAACTTAACATAAATCACATATTTATTAGATGCTCCATAATGCCCTTAGAACGGGAAATGGATCTAAGCAGTTTTTGTCTTTAGTAATTTCATTCCATTTCCGGCAGGAACAGATGTACAGATTCTTTTCCATTTTTTAGTGGGTAATGAAATGATTGAAGTGGGAAATGCAGTGTTCTACATATGTTATTTTTATTGATGTGTAGAGCTGAAGAAATTTTAATTTCAATGAGTTGATTATGTAGATGTAGATTTGTAAATGTTTAACAAATATAATTTCTACCAGAGACTTTCAAGGTTCTATGACAATTTTTTTTTTTAATGGAACTATTGAAAAGTACCGATATTTTTTTAACTAACTGACGTCCCAACAAAATGTGGCCCGACGATGGTAGTCATGACATTCTCTAAGCAGTGTATAAACAAAACTAGCATTAACATACTGATTTGAGAGTGTTAGCATTACAAGTTTTACTAGGCGAAGTTTTAAAACATACAGATTCGAGATTGTTAGCATTAGCATTTTTTTCATCTTGAATTCGATATACTTTACATTCCAACAAGTGCATTTTCAGTAGGACTAGATACAGTCCCTCTTTTCCTCGCTATACTTTTTTAGCTTCCAAAGATGTCATTGGATTCTCTCTTATGGTAAGGAGGTGTCCTGACAGTATTATAGAAGTATGAAGAAATTTAAAATGTTATCTATTTCTTCCGTAATATCTTGTCCTATTGGATAGTACATACCAAACATGCACTTGTTGTACGCCTGAATATTCTGTCTATTTCTTGGGATTTCATGTATTACATGAGCTTGGAAAATGGGGCAACTTGTGTGATGTAATATCCTTGACCATGTTGGCATTTTGATTTATTTCCCTTTTGATTTGTGGAAATCAGGCCCGGAAGATGCAAGAGAGGGGTTGGAAGCCTCAGTGGTTTGCGAAGGACAAAGGCTCGGATACCTACCGCTATATTGGAGGGTATTGGGAAGCAAGGGAACGGAGGAAATGGGAATCATGCCCTGATATTTTTGGTCAAATCTCTTCCGATCAAATATTAGAGTGAGTTAACAGGAGTCGAGTCTCGGTTGGTTGCCATTGTTCAATATCATATCTGGAAATATTGGAAAACAGCCGTTGATCATTGGCAGGAGCAGCAAATATGCCCATAACCCGCGTGTATATTACTTGGACGAAGCAACTAAGTTGGTTCAGTTGATATTCATTTTGTTTCTGCGAATTCTTCGATTCTCTTCTCCATCGGTCCTCGGTTTTTGCTGTGAACTCCAGAAAAGTTGAGGCCGGTTTTGTAAGACATATTGATCATGGACCTTTTTCCTTTTACCATTTTTTCCATATTCCAGATGTATCATAATTCTAAAGGATTGAGCTGAGGGGTTTCATCTCTGCATTTAAAAAAAAATGTATTCCTTCTACATTTCATTAATAACAGATGGAATTATACTAAAGATCATTTTAGTTTTTGCTCTGTTTCATGAAGATCAATTCATAGCTTATTGTCTTTTACAAGTATTTTGGTGTCGATTTTGAACTTTATAAGTTTTTAAATTATACGTATTTCAATTAAAATTTGAAAAGAAGTATTTTGTTTCAAAACAATCCCTCCGTTTTTATAAATCACTGAAGATCAATTGGGTCTCATCCCCTATAAAAATATATTCTCCATAATTTCAACTTTCAATTGAAGACAACAATGACGAAATTATTCTCTCCTCCTCCTCCTCCTCCTCCTCCTCCTTCTTCTTCTTCTTCTTGTTGTTGTCAATCCTAGGTTTTCAAGACGACACTTTCACGATGAGAAGACTGAGATGGAGAAGAAAAACAAGACGATGACGATAATAATCTCTTACAAGTGAGTTTTTTTTTTCTACAAAAATTTCTAGATTCGCTAGATAGATTCATTCATGCCAATATTGCAACTCTTTTTTGCTTGTATCTTGCAATTTAATCTTCCTAATTTGTAAGAATTTGCAGACATTGAAGAATTATTGAATAGTAATTTAGTAAAGATTTGCTGGCCGGCCTACCTGTAATTTCATGCACGAGGAAGTAAAATTTTAAATTATCATTTGCTTTGATTATTGAAGACATCATTGTTCTATATATGTTTCATCATCCAAATGAAAACTTTTGAATATAGCTTCAAGATTACATCCAAGTAGAAGTTGGGATCGGTTTTAATAATAAACGGAACAATAATTATCGTTCAGAGCCCAAATCTACTTTTCTATCCTTACCGACATGAAACTAATCACGAGATCTTTTCCCTCGTCGAAATCACACTTTAATCTGACCAGTAGATTTTCGTCCGTTGGACTCCTCAAGTAAACAAACGAAACAAAACCATCATCCGATATGTCAATCAGCTGATGATCAATATGATTGACATGGGCGCATGGGAGGATGGTACAATATCTCCAAGCCTTTTGCCATTGAATATGTCAATTTAAACAAAGTGACATTTTGCGTGTCATGCTTGCCAGTTTCGAAAGGGGAACCTTCAACAACCTTGCAAGTTTGTGACAACCTCGGTAAAATAAAAAGAATATTATGATAGTGTGCTAACCGAATCTTTGGACACGACAATTTTTTCTTGCATTGGGTTGTTCATGGTTCAGGCCATGTTTGGGAGGGATTAAATTTTACTACAATAAATCAATTCTCATTTTCAACCACACATTCTTTAATAAAATAATATTTGTCATCACATCAATAATTTTTTCTTCTTTTTCAACCACACATTTCTCATCATATCACTATTCAAAATCAATTTTTCCCCCAAAAATCTCTCCCAAACAAGCACTCATAAAGTAAATATAGGTATACACTCGTCGGTGGATTGATTTGTACTTCCATGCAAATCTTTCAAGTTGACAAGCTTGGTAAGATCCTATTCTTATTAGGTTTTGTGGGGTCTCTTCATTTGTTTTCTTTAGGTCTATTTCCTTATTTCGAGAAATATTTTGTGATATTTGATGGACCAACCTATGACTATGAAATCTAAACCGTCCAATCTCTAGTCTCAGCTGCTAGCCAGCCATCAAGAAAACCCATCGCAGCCATGCATAAACCAATTTATTGGTCAAAAAATCGATATTCTTTTATGTTAGTCATGTCCTCCTTTCAAATCAACTTTTTCATGAAAACTTCAAAAAGTTTACTCATTTGTGTGCTTTATTCAAAATGACGCGAACCTTCCCAACGTTTTACTGTAAGCATTTGTTACTGAGGCACCGTTTGATAACCATTCTTTTTTTCATTCTCATTCTTCTACTAATTTTCAACCACACATTCATCAATAAAATAATATTTTCCATCACATCAATAACTTTTCCTTCATTTTCAACCACAAAAAATGTGTGATTTGACAAAATTAGTAGAAGAATGAGAATGAAAAAAAGAATGGTTACCAAACGGTGCCTACATTTTAATTGCATGAAAGGTTCATAACTTTTACACATTATCACATTTAAGGTGTGATTTGACACAAAGAATACATTTTTTTCTAGAATAATGGTTACCAAACGGTGCCTGAAACAAATTTTAAAAATCATAGAAGAAAAAATCAGTTCTGCAAAATGAGAATATATAATTAGTGAAAAGAGAATAAATATTTTTATAAATAGTAAATTACTTACGTCTCTAATTTGCATGCTTCTGTTTTTTGTCATGTCTTACGTTAACCAAGC